CAGAGCTCACTGCAGCCTTAACTTCTTGGTTCAAACAAGTCTTCCATCTCAGCCTCCCAATTAAGTAGCTGGGACTACAGGCATGCGCCACTGTGCCCAGCTAATTTAAAACAATTTTTTTTTAGAGACAGGATCTTGGTACGTTGCCCAGGCTGGTCTCAAACTCCTGGCCTCGAGTGTTGGTCCCCGCATCTCAGCCTCCTGGGTCACTGGGATTACGGGCAATGTGCCCAGCTCCTACCTCATTTTATAATGTTGCATTTCTGAATCACATTAGTAAATTTATGATTTACTAGTGGGGAGGACTTAAATGAAGAGTGCTAGAAAACACATCATTTTATCTCACAAAAACATTTTTTAAACTATAAGACAAATAATAATTTAAGGGGAAAAACCCAGCTACTGACATATCTATGCATTTACAAATAGCAGTGCAGTTTCCTCACTAAAACATGTCCTCTATGAGTGTGTGTGTATATGTATGTATACCAATCAGAAGGGTTAGGAGAGTAAATATGAACCAGAAACTAGCAAAGCAAAATAAAATGTCACCTAATGATACAAGTTGATTAATGGTTAGAAGCCATGGCTAACCCCAATGACTTTTTGTACGAAGCTGGGTAGCTACTGACTAGCACTTGCTAATTAAAAAAAGAAAGAAAAAAATCCAGACTTCCAAATCATTGAGAATTGAACATTTTCTGCATCCTTGCTCATAATCAAGTAATAAGTCAATATTCAGAACAGCAAAAATACTCAAAGCTGAAAGTAAATAATTAAGATGAATTGTAAGTAATTGCTTACCAGCTACTATAAAGCATTGTGCAAACCAACTGTATGAGTGGCTGCTGAGTTATAAACCCTCCACTGAATACAGATATCTAAACATGTATGAAGGATTTATAAAATGTTGCAGAAATGAGGACACATTGAAAAACATATCTGTGCACAACAAACTAATGAGTCCACTATACAGACTATGGTTCACAACCTATTTCAAATGTGCCATATTTTTCTTGCCTCTTTTACTCAAATAATATTTATGGTGCCAGGCACTGAATCATTATTTTCTAATTAAATATCTTTTAGGTCCCAGCTTGGAATTGATTTCTTTTTGAAGAACTATCTCCAGTACCTCAAAACCAGGCTAATACTTACCTGCTAGCATGCTGTCCTTACTCCACAAAGGGTTTTCCTTCCTTAAGACCCTATTTGTGCATTTGCAACTAACTAGCAAACAGACTCTATGCATAGGGACTATCTCTTATTAAGTGAATCACCAAGACTTAGCCAGACAAGGTGAATAGAGTTACTAGTGAAAGAGGCATCTTCCAATGTGTTAGGTGAAATCACAGGTGAAATCACACCAGCAAGCTTCAACCTTTTTAATAAAAGGTTCTAAAACATTTTTGTAGTGTGGATCCTTTTTAGCAATATGATGAAGCCTAAGAACCAGTTTCTCAGAATGAAATTAAAACACAAAATAAAATACTTAAGATTTTAAAAAATTAAAATATAAGTAGTATAAGTGCTTTCTTGTTAATGTATTAAATTATAGGCTCTATCATAATTTTGAAGCATAAGCAATATTTAGAGAATTATATATAAATGTGAAATGATATAAAAATAACCATTATTTTCATCACTCACAAGTTTACAGGTACAGTTAACTAATTAGCATCTCCATATGGGAATATTTCCAATGATACTAACAGGCTTCATAGATTGCTATATGAAACAATTATGTAATACCAGAACACGGAAACTCTATACACCATGAACCATTTCAAAGTGAATAAATTCCAGAAGAACTTTAGTAGACTCTCATCAAAATTTCTATAGAAAAATAAGGAAAGGATCGGGCGCAGTGGCTCATGCCTGTAATCCCAGCACTTTGGGAGACTAAGGCAGGTGGATCATGAGGTCAAGAGATCCAGACCATACTAGCCAACATCGTGAAACCCTGTTTCTACAAAGAACACACACACACACACACACACACACACACAAAATAGCTGGGTGTGGTACACGCCTGTAGTCCCAGCTACTCAGGAGGCTGAGGCAGAAGGATCGCTTGAACCTGGAAGACGGAGGTTGCAGTGAGCTGAGATCGTGCCACTGCACTCCAGCCTGGCAACAGAGCGAGACCCCATCTCAAAAACACGAAAGAAAGAAAGAAAAGAAAAGAAAGAAAGAAAGGAGGGAGGAAGGAAGGAAGGAAGGAAGGAAGGAAGGAAGGAAGGAAGGAAGGAAGGAAGGAAGGAAGGAAAAAAAGTATTAAAAAGTACTGAACTGAACTATCACTTTCATTGTCAAAATAGAGACTACCATGCCTAATACAATGCCATATATACACAGTGGGGAACAGTTCAAAATAATTCACTAAGTTTCCTATTACTCTGAGACACCATGCCAAGCACTAGAGACACAAAGATTAATGACATCTGATCTCTTTGTAGGAGGAACAGAGAAGTTGGCAAGGGAAACAAATATTTAAACAAATGATTGTCACAAAATAAATTACATCATAGAGTTATAAACCTAGTGTCCCAGCAACACAGAAAAATAAGTATAAATATTGCTATTTTTAACCTTATTGTATAAACACAAATATGAGAGGTCACAGAAATCAAATGGCAAATGTAGATCAAAATTATGAAACCATTTTATGATAGCAAATTAATTGTGGATGACGATAAGAGACAACTGCAACACTCTTTATATTATATGTTCTTCTTAGAATGCAAAGTCATAGGAAGAAAATATAGCTGCCAGTGTCAGAAGCACTATAGGGTTATATGAAATATACAGTAACACAAAGGAGATTTGACATAACAGATGGAATATCAATATGAGTCATACTGGTTATTCCAAGTGGACTGCTACAAGTGACATAACTTCCAGGCTGTTTTTTCACATTTAACTTAATTCCTGCAACACTCAGAGAATTTCAATAAATCTTGCCTTTATTAATTAAATCAATCCTACTGATTACCAATCACTATAAAAATCCTGTTCCCTTAATCAAAGATGACTTGTTAAGAGATTAGAGGGTAGATTATTCAAAGTGCTTTATAAAATAGTATCTCTATATAATGATAATCTCTTACTATCATTCTTTATTTGAAAAGATGAAAAGAAGGGAAAAAGGATGGGCTTTTCCCATCAATTTTCAGTGATATAATCATTTCTGAAAACTAAGATTAAAAATAGCATGCTCCTTAGATACATCAACCAAATGGATAAGATCTGAAAAGACTGCAAGTTTATAATGACTATACCAGCTCTGAAAACAAGAGAGCAGTTTTATTTACGAAGTATTTTTAAAATACAGATTGAGCATTCCTAATTTGAAAAACCAAAATCCTCACAAAATTTATGTTCTTCTTATAACGCAAACCAAAATGCTCTGAAATGCTCCAAAACTGGAGCACTGACATGATGCCACAACTGGAGAATCCACACCTGACCTCATGTACAAAGTCTCAGTTAAAATGCAGTCAAAACTATGTTTCAAGCACAAATCACTTAAAATATTGTATAAAATCACCTTCAGGCTGTGTGTATAGGGTATACATGAAACAAATAAATTTTGTGTTTAGACTTGGGTTCCACTGAAGATAACTCATTATACACGCAAATATTCAAAAAAAAAAAATCTAAAGTCAGAAGGACTTCTGGCCCAAGCATTTCAGATATAAAGTATTCAACCTGTAACTTGTTTCCTACCACTGGAAGTATTACACCAACTCCTTACTGTGAAAATTGGTCATTTAAAACAAAAAGAGAGAGAGCGAATTAGGCATTTATACCACTTTTGATATACAGGAGAAATGGTGTTTACTCCTGGCTGATGACAGAAAACATTTTCTATAGAAGAGTAACAGCCAACAAATGCAGAGACCAGGACAGAATTAACAAAACTCACCATTCTACAATCTTCAATGTAACAAAATTATTAATTTAAAAGTTGCATCAGAAATAATGTCAAAATGACATACTGTAGAGTACTTGCTAATATCCATAAGAAAAACCTATTTCCAATTATGTAGATACTTGATAGTCATTACCTTACTCCTGTGATCAAATATAGCACCACAAACAGGGAGACAACCTAAAATAATGTGTCTCCTATTGGGATGAAATGATGTAGATAGCAATACTTACAACGTTTAGAAACAAACAAACACACACAAACTCCTTAGCCTGAATGGGTTTATACCTCTAGACTTAACTTCCAGTTAAACAGATAGATATCCAGGGAACAGAGAAATACAAAAACATTATCATAATGAAAAAAATCTGGCCAAGCATGGTGGCAATACTTTGGGAGGCTAAGGCAGGAGAATTGCTTGAGGCCAGGAGTTCAGGATCAGCCTGGGCAGCATAGTGAGACTTTGTCTTTATCTTCTTTTAAAAAATAGTAAAATTAAATAAAAATTTAAAAATCTTGCAAATGCAGAATTTAAAGAAGACGATTACTCTGGATATTGTGAAAAGAAAATTAAGAGTACAAATCCTATGCTATATTAAAAGGAACTAAAAAGATATAACAAAATGTAAGGAGTAAACCTTAAGAAGAAACAGAAAAAGAGCACCACTAAAAAAATAAACGAGAAAATTAAATTAGCTTACAAAGTGCTGTAAGTTACACAGAAACTTCAAGTTGCAAAAAAGACACTGCTCGTATGTATCAATATTCTAGTTTGGAATACTGAAGTTCTTGGAGTAATTATAAACAGAAATCAATGTAACTCAACAGCATTGCTTACATGGCTGCTGTTTAATAGCTACTTTATTGAGAACAAAACTAATTTTAGCGGGATTTTAGAGGGGTAGTAAATTTTTATTATAAATTCACTTATTCAATATAATGACTTAATAACTTTTCTGATATACACTGATACATGAAGAAAAGTCACATTCCATATTCCATATTTGGCTGGAAAACCCATTGTATAAATGGTCTACAAAAAAAAAAAGACAGAGCGAGAACTTACCACTTGTATTAAAAGCCATGCAGCACACTGGCTTCTCATGGGCAGGGAAGTGGGCCACAATGCCATCACTGTCAGAATCCTCACTCACAAGCACCTCCACAAAAGAAATAAAGACAAATGGAGGTAAATATTTTCTCACCAATAACCAAGCTTGAAGACTGTAAGAAGGTACATCACAATACCACTGACCAAATAACATGTTTCCATTCTAGTAGATTATTCTTGCCAATATAAGGAAAGAATTCCACTTTAGAATTGAGGAAGAGATATAACATGCCCCCAAGCACATCAGTCATATAAACTCTGAAAAGAGTCAGCTGACTTGACTGTAGATGACAGAAACAATTACTTCTTCAAGTATAGGTTCAGAGGAAGGAAAAAAAAAGATACAATCAACTATTTTCAATTCTTTACAAAATGTAATCACTTAGAGCTTTATCCAAGGACAGGAAATACAGGTCTTACTGTGTTATGGGATCTGCTGGAAAATCACAATTTTTTGCCCATTATTGAAATATAAGAACAGGGGGAAAACAACATAATTTATTAACCATAAACAAACAGGTGTATAGAGAAATCATCCAGTAACATTTTCATACCATAGAATGAAAGTTGTGTTCTTCAACTCCTAGTTTATAGAGAGAAATAGAACATATTTGAAACGACTATCAAATCATAAAAGCAGAGGTACATTAGAATAGGTACCTCTGTATCTCAAATGGAGTTTCTTTTACTCACTCCTCTTTTTAAGGCTATACTGAAATGTAATTTACATTCCATATAATTTCCCATTGTAAGTTCAAAAACTTTTTAAAAATTATTTTACTTATCTAATATTTCAGAAAGCAAACCTATTACACCAATTTTGGATCATAGTATTTAGACACAGAGAAATTTGATTTTAAGTAACCTTGGACGTTGTCCTACAATGGCGATGCTATTTTTTTTCTTTCAAAAATACATGTTAGACTAAAGTCCGACTATGTGTAAAATACTCTGCTAAGAGCTCAGACTATAAACCAAAAGTTATTCCTGCCCTGAAAGATACACAGTAAATGACTAAAACAGTTATTTTATTAGTTACAACATATTTGCAAATATAGCCCCAAAAAAAATCTACTTAAGCACCGAGATTTGTGTGTGTGAAATTTGTGTGTGTGAAAGCTTTACAAAGATACAACTCGCATACCATAAAACCTACCCATTTTAACTTTACAGTTCAATCATGCTATACAGTATCAAAACCATCACAACAAGCCACCATAAAAATGTCTGGAACGTTATCCTCTCTGATCTTTATGCCTTATTGCTCTAGCTAGAACCTCCAATAGAACCTCCAATTCAATCTAGCTACAAATACATTGATTATATTGATCTTTTCAAATAACCAATTTTAGACTTTTCCAATATTTCACTGTTTGCTGTTCTATCAACTTCTATCCAGATCTTTATTATCTGCTTCATTTGTCTTACATTGGTTATAATTTGCTCTTCTTTTTATCATCTTTTAAGGGAAACACTTAGATTATTAATTTCAGGCCATTTTCTTTTCCTAATATAAGCATTTAAAGCTATAAATTTTCTTCCATATAATACCATAGTTTAGGTATACTCCATAAATCTTTATATGTTGTTTTCATTTTCATTCAATTCAAAATATTTTCTAATGTCCCTAAGCGTCTTTCTTTGACCCATGAGTTATTTACAAGTGCGTTTTATTTCCAAATATTTGGAGATTCCCCAAATTGAATTTTGTTATTGATTTCCATTGTCCTTAGAGAAATACTCTGCATGACTTTAATCCTTTTAAAGTTATTAAGATTTGTTTCATGGCCAAGCATCTGTTCTATCATGTACAATGAATGTCCCAGATGTTTTTGAAAATAATGTGCATTCTGCAGTTTGGGGTGGTCAAGTTAGCAAATAGTGTTAAACATGTCTTCTAAGTCTTTTCTAATTTTCTATCTAATTGTTCTATCAATTATTTTTTAATAGAGAAATAGTCGTACATGTTTACCAATATGCATGGGGAAAATTACAGAGTGCTTACGCCTATCAACTAATGAGGAATAAATTATTGAAATCTTGAGCTGTAATATAGAGCTAAAATTGGGCCAGACACGGTGGCTCACGCCTGTAATCTCAGCATTTTGGGAGGCTGAGGCGGGAAGATCACGAGGTCAGGAGTTTGAGACCAGCCTGGCCAACATGGTGAAACCCTGTCTCTACTAAAAATACAAAAATCAGTCAGGCCTGGTGGCGCGTGCCTGTAATCCCACTTACTCAGGAGGCTGAGGCAGGAGAATCGCTTGAACCTAGGAGGCGGAGGTTGCAGTGAGCCGAGATCGCACCATTGTACTCCAGCCTGGGCAACAGAGTGAGACTGTCTCAAAAAAAAAAAAAAAAAAAAAAAAACAAAAAACCAGAGCTACAATTTCTTCTTTCAATTTTGTCAGATTTTGTTCAATGTTTTTAGGGGCTGTGTTGTTAGGTATTTATATGCTAATAATTGTTTTATTAATTGTACATATTAATAGTGTTTTTCCAGAACAAGTATCACTGAGAAAAAAAAAAGAAAAAAGAATTTTTATCTGTGTTGTGTATTAACAATTGTTTTATTATATTGACCCTTTATTGTGAATGAAATGTCTCTCTTTTACTCTAGTAATACTTCTTGATGTAAAGTCTTTAATATTACCATGGCCACTCTAATTCTATTATGGTTATTGTTTACATGACATATTTTTAAAATTTCAACTTTCAGATACAAGGGGTGCATGTGCAGGTTTGTTACATGGGTATATTGCACCCAGGTAGTGAGCATAGTACCCAGTAGGAACCCATACTCCTACTTCTTCCCTCCCCATTCAAGTAGTCCGCAGTGTCTGTTAATAGTTTCCATGTTTATGTCCATGTGTGGTCAATGTTTAGCTCCCACTTGTAAGTGAGAACATGGGGTATTTGGTTTTCCACTTCTCCATTAATTTGCTTAAGATTTTGGCTTCCAGCTCCATACACATTGCTGTAAAGGACATGATTTCATTCTTTTTATGACTGTGTAGTATTCATGGTGTATGTATAACACATTTCCTTTATTCAATCCACTGCTGGTGGGGAGTTAGGCTGATTCCATATCTTTGCTATTGTTAACAGCATGGTGATTAATATACAAGTACATGTCTCTTTTCGGTAGAGCCATTTATTTTCCTGTGGGTATATACCCATTAGTGGGATTGCTGGGTCAAATGGTAGCTCTGTTTAAGTTCTTTGAGAAGTCTCCAAACTGCTTTCCACGGTGGCTGAACTAATTCAGACACCCACCAGCAGTGTATACGTGTTCCCTTTTCTCCACAGCCCCACCAGCATCTGTTGTTGTTGTTGTTGTTGTTGTTGTTGCTGCTGTTGTTTGAGATGGAGTCTTGCTCTGTCGCCCAGGCTGGAGTACAGTGGCATGATCTCGGCTCACTGCAACCTCTGCCTCCCGGGTTCAAACGATTCTCCTGCCTCAGCCTCCCGAGTAGCTGGGACTATGGGCACCTGCCACCATGCCCAGCTAATTTTTTGTGTTTTTAGTAGAGATGGGATTTCACTGTGTTAGCCAGGATGGTCTCGATCTCCTGACCTCATGATCTGCCCGCCTTGGCCTCCCAAAGTGCTGGGATTACAGGCATGAACCACCAGGCCCAGCTGGTTTTTGACTTTTTAATAACAGCCATTCTGACTGGTGTTAAGATGGCATCTCATGTGGTTTTGATTAGCACTTCCCTGATGGTGAGAGATGATGAGCATTTTTCCATATGTTTGTTGGCCCACACGTATGTCTTCTTTTAACAAGTGTCTGTCTGTGTCCTTTGCCCATTTTTAATGGGGTTATTTGTTCTTTACTTGTTGATTTAAGTTCCTTATAGATGCTGGATATTAGACCTTTATCAGATAAATCATTTGCAAATATTTTCTCCCATTCAGTAGTTGTCTGTCTGCTCTGTTGATAGTTTCTTTTGCTGTGCAGAATCTCTTTAGTTTAATCAGGTGTCACTTGTCAATATTTGTTTTTTGTTGCAATTGCTTTTGTGGACTCAGCCAAAAATTCTTTACCAAAGCAGATGTCAAAAAGGGTATTTCCTAGGTTTTCTACTATGATTTTTACAGTTTGAGGTCTTACATTAAAATTTTTAAAGCACGTGACATATTTTTTACCATCCTTTTATTTTCAAACAAGTGGTCTTTGAATCTGAAGCAATTTGGGTCTGACACATTTACCATTAACATATTGTTGCTATAATTGGATTTTAAGTTTGCCATTTTGCTATGTATGTTTATATGTCTTAGGTGTTTGTTGTTCCTCCAGTCTTCTTCTTCTGTGTTTAGAAAATATTTTTAGCATTAATATTTTAAGTCCTCTGTTACTTTTTCTGAGTAATTTCTTAGTGGTAGTTGGAGGGACTACAATATGCATATTAACTTATCATCTATTTCAGGTTAATATTGATTAAATTCCAGTAAAATACAGCTCATTGATTGACTATACCTGCATCTGCTACCTACTCCTTTGATTTATCATCTTCCTATGTATTACCAATTTAAAAATAACTTCTCATTATTTCCTCAAAAAAAAAAAAAAAAAACAGGAAAAAGCCTTCCCCTGTGAAAGCCAATTTTAAAAATTAGAAGTGAGCAATCCCAGCAATTTGGGAGGCCGAGGTGGGTGGATCAGGAGCTCAAGAGATCGAGACCATCCTGGCCAACACGGTGAAATCTCGTGTCTACTAAAAATACAAAAATTAGCTGGGCATGGTGGCGCACACCTGTAGTCCCAGATATTTGCGAGGCTGAGGCCGGAGAATCGCTTGAACCCGGGAGGTGGAGGTTGCAGTGAACCGAGATTGCACCACTGCACCACTCCAACCTGGCAACAGAGTGAGACTTCGTCTCAAGAAAGAAAAAATTAGAAGTGTTACACCTGATGCACAGATATCAATGAAAGGATACAAGAAACATGAAAAAGCAAGGAAATACGACACCTCCAAAGAAACACAATTCTCCAACAATAGGTTTTAACCTCCCTAAAAAATGTATAAAATGCCTGAAAAAGAA